ACACTTACTGAATTATGAAATATAACAGCTGGCAGTTCAGAACAATATGAAAATTAAAAGATTTAAAATCCACTTTGGATTAGAAGGTTTCTATTACTCTACGTTAAAAATTAATCACTTTCTAAGTTAGCAACATTAGTAGTAGTAGTATTATATTGGTACTCTGTGGTGTGATTGAATATTGCAAATTACTTTTAGCATCAACTTTGTGTTTCCTTTTTAATCTTAACATAAAAATCACATGCTGAATTATGGGGTATATCAGCAGCAATTATGAAGGAGAATACGAGATTTAAATCTATTTTAGGTTATAAGATTTGTATTAACTTCGTATAAGAACCAATCACTTTCCATGTTAACAACATTAGTAGTAGTATATCGGCATTTTACTGCGTAATTAAATATTGTAAATTACTTTTAGTATGAAGTTGTTCATTCTTTCTTAACTTACGATAAAACACTTACTGAATCACAAAGCATATCAGCGACAGTTATGAAGTAAAGTATGAAAACGGAAAGATATAAAATCTACTTTAGACTTGAGGGTTTTTATTTACTTCCTATTACAATTAACTACTTCCTTGATTAGCAATATTAGTAGTAATATTGTATTGACATTCTCCTGTGTGATTGAATATTATAAATTACTTTTAGCATGAGTCATTCATTTCCTTCTTAATTTATTATAAGAAACACTTCCTGACTTATAGAGTACATCAGCAGTAGTTATGAAGTAGAATATAAAAAATGGAAAGTAAAATTTAAAACCTACTTTGAACTAGAAGATTTCTTTTATTTAGACACTTGGTAGTTGTTTTAGTCAGGTCTTAAAATTTAAGTATTGGTTGATCTTTAAGACCTACAACATTATTTAAAAGTGCTACAAAAAGATAACTATAATCAGTGTCCTTATGCATCATCCATCATTCATTGTACTTGCTTCCACTGGAAAGAAGCTGTCAGATATATCTTTGATAACTCTTTTTCTACAGTATTCGTCGATAAGTTTGAAATTTCATCTGATGACTCAGGATACTTTCGAACGAGTTCACCTAGATGATGGCGAAATTTCTTAAAATCTTAAACTTTCTCGTTATCTGCAGTGTAATTTTGAACAACTTTCTCTCTAAAGGCTAAAGCTTCTCTATATATCTACCTTTCCCAAAGTGGTCTCTATCCAGTCACGAATAGTATCGAAGGAAGATTCTTCATTTAACTCTTTTTTCCATCCACTTTTTCCCATTTTCTTATTGCATAACTCACACAAAAACATCAGATGGCGAGTATCATTTTGTACTTGCACTGCGAATTCTTTTGTGGCTTAGACATTAAACAAATACTTTGCTTATTTTATTACTTGGATTAGTATGTTTATCTCTTCTAAATGTTAGATTTAAAACGTTATAATTTAAACACTTGTTGATCTTCGAGATCCACAATACGATATTATTTAAAAGTGCCAAAAAAGTTACTAGAATACAGAGTTCTTATGCAGCATCATTCATTGTACTGTCTTTTGCTGGAAGGAAACCGTGAGACTAAAGGTCCAGCTCTGATATCTTTTGCGTTATGGTATTGTGATAAAGTGATCTTCAAAACAATAAATCAAGAACCACAGTTTCGCGCAAATTTCACTTTATTACAGAAGATAGGTTCGTCTAACTACCAATGACTATCTGACTATCTGACAATCTACTTATTACAGCAAAATTCACGATTTATATACGATTAGTTACAGAATGCTTTTACTGTAACAAATCTTATCTTGCCCATTAAGTCGCAAGATCAGATCTAAATTTACTATCGCGCAATCTATTCATAAATCGCGCGTCTATTTAAAGCATTACAATACAAGACTTACAGTACTAGCATACTTAGCGCAAATCTATTTATATCTCAGATCTTTATATAAACATCTTAATAGATTCGCTACAATACGTACTGTAAACGTCTTCTACAAATAGACTCTTACACAATCTTACACTCTAGCTTACAAGTTAAGTTATTCTCGTACAGTCTTATAATCGTAATCTAAGCTATATTTGGGCTGCAATACAGGTATTCTTCGCTAATTTTGAAATTTCTTTAACTGACTTAGGATACTTTCGAAGCAAATCACCGAGATATTTAACGAATTCCTTAAAATCTTCTTCTTTCTCGTACGTTATAGTGTATTTTTGAACAACTTCCATTCTAAAGGCTGCAGCTTCTTTGAGAATCAACGTTCCCGATACATCCGCATTTTTCCATATAGAATTTATCAGGTCGTCAATAGGACCAAAAGAACGTGATTTAACTAACTCGTCCTTCCATCCACCTTTTTTCCTCCTGATATTACAGGCCTTGCACATAAACATCAAATTGCGGGTATCATTTTGTACTTGCACTGCGAGATTTTTTGTGGCAAAGATAAGTTCTTTGCTTATTTTAGTACTTGAAGTAGTGGACTTATAACGTCTAAATTTTAGATTTAAAACGTAAAACTTGTTTATAGACTTCAAATACTCATCATAGTCCTTTTTTTGATCGACATCATCTGGTCTTAGTTTATTTAATAAATAAACAGAAGCCAATAGTTTCTCATGAATTTGCGTTTTAGGTAATATATGATCTACTTCTGGATAAGAGCTATGATTTCGATCTACGATACTTTGAGAAAAAGGGCAAGAAAAGCAATTTAGATCAACAGACCTTCCTATTTCATTTCTATATACTTTTTCCAACTCCATTTTGGTAGCCATTCTATAATTATTACAATATTTAGCGTTGATATCTGTTCTGCATGTATGATAGGCAGGTATAGAACTAACCGTTGGTTCCTGAGCATTTTTTTTTTTAGATTTAATATTGGAGGAAATTACACCTTGAAACTCGTAATTTAATACGGAATCCAAGAAGCTCTTTACTGTCTCTGCTGTATCAGAAACACGTAATTCTTTACTTTTCTTAAGATTATGTTTGAAATCGAGTTCCTTTATTTTAGAATCTCTATCTTTAATTTTTTTAAAGGTGGCACTAAGTACGTTTTTAAGAATACATTTTCGTTTACCATCTTTTTTAACGAATAGCTTAGGAAAGTAGAGCCTCGCGCAAGCCTTAATATCGGCTCTATAGCTTTTGTAATTAGAATAATCAATATTTGTTATAGTGCCCTTCGTAACTTGTTTTTTTAAAGACGTTCCTCTACCCTTCTTTTCATATCTCGCAAAAATACGTTTGGATGACGGTTTAGCAGCCATGTTATAAGATGCTTCAACATTTATTTATTGAATTCGAATTTCTGTGCAGTATGTAAGCTGGAAAAGCTCAACGAATAAAATACTATTGCCTGTTGCATTCATGGAAAACCACAGTTTCGCAATGAGAGTATCAAATTTATGAAAGTAAATAAGCCAAATAGTTGAAAAGTTAAGATATCGGTCTTTAAAGGATTATTTTAGATGTCCATGTATTATAAATGAATTAAACTGGCCAGGATGCAGGTATTCCGAAAGCAACTTGAATATGATGGCATAATAAAAAAATGTAAATTTTGTTAATCAACGATGAAATCAAGTTTACTTAAGAATGTAACTCTAAAATGAGCGCTTGGCTTTGATGTTAGTTTACTTAAAATGACTACAATTAACAATGCATCAAGCATAAAATAAGAAAGCTTTCTTTAGTAATAAAATACTCGTCAAGAATTGAATTAAAAGATTTATGAGATAGTTTTCAAAAAACTATCTCATAAATTGGATCGCTATATTCATATAACCTCATATGCATATAGAACCTTCTGGAATACTCAGTCTATGTATATTATAATAACTACTAATAAGTTCTAGAATATTCCATGATAGAT